TCTAATATATTTTCTTTCAAAAAGATTTTTATATATTCAATTTAAACATTGTTAAATATATTATTAATTTATGTTAATGATTTATGTTAATGAAATTATTATTATTATTATTATGATTATTTTTTATTTTACATAATATCTCATTATTGTTGAAAAAAAAGTTTTAAATATTTATATCATATAACATATTTTTCTGTTTCAGAAAATATTTTATTCAGGTATTACTTTTTTTTTCAAATTGATTTTTATTGTTTTATTATTATTAAGAAGTTTTAAATATTTATGTTATATAAAATAATATATATTTTTCTGTTTCAGAAAATATTTTGTTTAATTATTATTCTTTTTTTCTTATTCAAATTCGTTTTTTATTTTATCATAAGAATTTTATTTTTAATTAAATTTATGTTTATTTGTTTCAGATATTATACTATAAGGTAATTATATTATTATATCAAATATACTATGTCTTAATATATTCTGTCCATGTGGTGCATGTATTTAAGAATAGATTTTTGTTCAGAACAGACTTTAATAAGTCTAAATATTCATTTGTTTTTTAGATTTTATAGATATTAGCTTACACATTATATATTATATATCAATGTTAGATTTTCAAAAATATTACCGATAATTAAATGTTTTTATGTTTATTATTATTATTATTATTATTAGGTATTAAACAGTATGATTTATATTGATATAATAATATAAAATATATCTCTTTATTTCATAAAATTTCCCATTAAGAGAGGGTTTTTAAATATTTTTATATGAAAACTGAATATATACATGTCTTTCTGTTTCAGGAATTATTTTTTTAATATATAATATTAATATTTCAGGTTTAATTATTTTGTATATTATGTAATTATATAAATCGAATTGAAATTAAAATATTATCTAAAATTTAAATATCTTTAAGTACTTAATTTCTTTTTTTTATATTATACAATATACGAAAAACTAATATTTTAAAATTAACATAATTTTTAAAAAATTATCATCAACTTTAATTTTGAAATATTAATTGTCTTCAGGACATCTGGCGTCTTGAACCTCCTGCAAGATTAAAAGATTGAATTGCAATTAATTTTGATCATTTTGATAATATTGATAAAAGAATAAAAACAGAAGAAAAAAAAGTAAAAAAGATGGATGATAATTATACCCGATTCCGTTTTTCTCCATATTTCGACCAAAATGTAACTTTACATGAAGTCTTTTGTCCAGTTTGCTTATTGAAGACAGAACATGAAGAAAATGGGGGTGAATATAAATGTAACGAAACAGCAGGATTTACAGTACTCGGATTTTCAACTCGATGAAGTCCTAAGGAATCTATAAAAGGTAGGTCTTTCTTTTATCTAGTTATTTTTATTAATATTAAACGATTTTATATTTATAAAAGTATTACCATTGATATAACATATTTCATTGAGACCAAGAGTATTTCTTTTTAATTCTTGTAGTTCTTCTGATTCTTTCATTTCATTGTTACTTTTAGGCCATGCATATCGTGTCTATGGGAATAATTAGATTAAAAAAATTGTTCATTAAAAATATATATATAAATAAAAAATAAAATATTTCGTTTAATACCTCACATAGTTCACCTTGAAGAATTTTCATTATACAATGTGCATTTGCATGATCATGTATGGCTGAACCATGACCTTCTCCCCAACATAGAACCATTAGATTAAACCTTCCATTTCCTTCATCGACTAAATTCCTTGTATATCTAAGCACAGTGATTCATTTAGTTGTTTTCTTTAAGAACCTTTTATGTATAATTAAATTATATTAGCATTAGAATGAATCACATAAAACTAAAAAAAAATAAAATTCATTAGAAGATAATGAACTAGATTTATCTAGTACACGTTGAGCATAGATAGGTATTTTTTCTAAATCTTTTGGAACGTTTCATCGTTCGTTGCTTTCGATCCGGTGTCGTGTGTCAAAGAACCGATGTTCTGAATCAAGTGTAACGTAAGTTAAAAGAGGGGGGCATACGTGGAAAGTGTGTATAACCAGCCGTTCACCGTACAAACACTATTGATTCATGTGCAATACACATGGACACTAAAGTGTTCCGCATACTTAGGTTTTGGTTGCAACGATTTTAAAACTTTTTGATCATGTCTTTGATCGTAGATCATATTTGAAATAACACAGGAAAAAAATATTTCCATACAGAGAAGTGTAGATAGAATGAAATTATTATTGCATTTATTAAACAACTAATAACGAAATATTAGATGTTTATAAAATATTTTAACGAGTATTTTTTTAATCTTTATTCATTCGATTCGTTTTTCATTTGTTCGAAATATATTTTATTATTCTTCTTTTTAAATGTCCTATATACTATGTTGTGCATGAAATACATACTTTCGCCACTTTGTCATGTGGAAATCGACATATTAGCAATTTCGTGTAATGTCATATAGCCATATGTTTTATAACGTTGTCATTATTATTTTTATAATTAACAAAAGAATATTCATTCCAATTTAATATATTTTATATGAATAAGAAAAAGATTCATTTGTCTTTTCAACTTTTCAAATTTTAATTTTTCTTGTTTCATTTTTTCAAAAAAAAAAAATATAAAAAATTCTAAATCATTTAATTATGCTTTAAATACATGATTGATAGTTGTGATTCTATTTATATTTATTTTAATATATAATTCATAAATTTTAATTAACAAAGAAAATTGAATTATTAATTTATAAAATTTAATTAACATACAATAAAAATTAAGATGCAAATAGATTATTAGACAATTATTCATCATTGGATTATTACCTGCAATAGAATTGCATAGATCATTATTCTTATTTTTCTGGAATATTTCTAATAGATTCTTATTTATTGTTTTCATATTGATAACTTTCGAATATACATATTATGCTACTCATAGTATTATTGTAATAGCAGTATATAGTGCGAAGTACAAGATTGCTGCACAATCTTTCAATATATGTTTTTTTAGATAAGACCAACGACGTATTCAGTAAATTTCACAGACAGTAAATTTTCAAATTTTTATGACTTCTATCACATGATGGTCTCTCTTCATTTTTCTTAAGGTCATTTACTTTATGTTCGCGTGTCAATTTGCGCAGATAATACAGATACATGGATGCTGAATTCATTACTTAAGATTGATTGTGTTTTGAATGAAACAAAATACGTAAGACACGATTAGGGTTAAAGAAACAGTAACGATAACCTATCGTGAATTTCGTCATATTAATTTTATTTTACGATTGCGATGTAGTTGTGCCATGTTTTGTTTGTATGATGTCCGATAAAATATTTACCAAGAAACTCGATCATTCGCAAATGTAAGACGCGTCGATTGATTAAACATAAGAAAAAAAATCTTAAATTTTTATTTTTTCGTAAATTAAACACTTAAATTCCTCTTATAATCAATATTTTAATTCAATTAATTAACACAATGAAATTGCACGATATATATTAAATAATAGTTTGTAAAAAAATTCTAAGCTTATCAGTTTACCTGTATCTATCAAACTTGGCATATTTTTTCCATTCCAAAGGGTTACTTCTGTACAAGGCCATTAGATTTTGAACTTCATCTATGTTCACATGGTCAGTTTTGAAAGCTTCATGCAAAGCATCAATAAGTTCACGAAGAGTTAAAGAAACTCGTTGGCGTGCATTCTTTTCGTTTAATAGTTTGTCACGAGAAATACAAAGTAATCTAGGATCTTCACTGTACACTTGCATTTTTTTTCTATTGGTCAACTTTATCTTCCTTCTTCACTTATACTCGCGACGAGAATTAATAAAAAAAAAAAATATATATATATATATATAACAGAAATAATTACACGAAACGAAGAATACAATAATATATATTTGAATTGATTCGCAAAGGAAAAAAATAAGTTGTTTAAAAATGAAAGCAAATGAAGAATACGATTAACAGTGGAAGAACACGTTGTCGGTCTACGGCTCGCACCGATCTAGTAAAACAGGAGACAGCGTCTTGTACGATACCTAAGATACCCCCTACTCCCACCAACTCTAACAGTTTTAAATATTTCGTATATAGTTGTGAGTTAAATCTCGACTAATTTTCTTTTTTTTTTTTTTTTTTTTTCATTTCGAATAAAGTGGAATAACAGAACAATATAGCAATATGTATATTCTTAATATTTTATTAAAAATATTACATGTTGCACAAAAATTTTCTTATAAGAAAATGTTAAAACTAAAATAAGAAAATACATTTAACATCTATGTTATTTAGCCATATCACAGTATATTTTTACTCATTTTTATAACATAACAAATTATTATATTTAAGCAGTTTTTTTTCGAGTAAGAAAATTAATGAAATTTGATTAATTTATGTTTTAATTCTTAAATTTTTAATTTTTTATCATTATTTATATTTAATTTATCTTGAAAATTTATATGATAGAAAGTATCGAAGTTATTAGGTTATATTAACATGCATTATAATTTACGAAATTATATTTTGTAAATATATCTTAATTCTTTCTTTAATCACAATATTTTGTAATCTATTAAATGCTCTGTTGTAAATGTTATAGTGATAGAGTGTTGTAGGTCATAAGATATAATTTAACAGAATAAGAAAATATATTTTTATCTAAACATTTATACGTTATTATAAATTTTGATTAATTATAAAAAGAAAAAAAAAGACATTGGAAAATTTCTTTATATTTTACAAATGAGAGCGGGGATTTCATTCGATAATGAATTAAAAAATGTCTTGTAGAAACAGAAGATCAAGAGTGCAACAGAATCATATAAATCGTTATAAAATAAATAAACAATATATTATACTTATGAACTTCGTTCTAAAGATTAACATATGAGATTCATTACACAATAACGTAAAGAACATAAACAATATTTTTAGTTTTGTTTAAAAATCTTGAACAGTGCATTGTACTTCTAAGTCAAGTAACCACACAGGTGTCATATTAGTGCACACAAATTGTCTTTTCGTCATTGTTCTTCGGTTTCGTGGATGTTTTTCCACATGGAACGCTTTCCTTTTCTTTCGTACGACAAGGTGAATCAATGCACCTGCATGGCCTCGACTTGTTGCGCTCTCTGGCCGTAATGCAGCTGTAGCAAAGAATGTAATAAAAAAATCAGCAACTGGAAGTACCAGATCTACGTTCGGGGCAATTAATCGAGGAAATTGTTGAAATTTCGAAATTTTTTCTTCTTTTCCTTCTTTCGTTCATATAATTATTAGATATACTTACTCGCAAGGCGAATTTTTGCAATAATAACATTTCACTTTTAATTTTTTCTGAGTCGATTTGTTCTTCTTGCATCTACAAGGTGATGCTTTGCAAACACGACAAATTACTATTATTTTCTTCTGTTTATCACTTCTCGTGTGATTCGATTCGCATTTGCAAATAGTAGGTAATTTATTTTTCGATTTATCAATACATACTGCGATGATTTTTCGCCGCGTTTTAGGACTGTGAAAAAAAAAAAAAATAAAGGAATCTCAATATTACGTGATATAATATAATTTTTACTTTAATTAAATTCTGGTCAAAGATATTATACCTGATGCAATATTTTATCTTTCTATCCTCTCTTATCTCGTTTTTCTCTATGTTACAACAACAAGGAATTTTTTTACATCGTGTACAACATGTAGACGCGCTTATTTTTTGTTGTAATTCATCCATCACGTCGGAAAATACGCTCAATCGTTGATAAGGTAGATCAGAATTATGCGATTTAAGTTTTTCACAATAACGGCATTCATTCATAGAATCGGTTTCATGTTCGATTAAATTTCTGGAAAAGTAACGCCGTACTTCTTCTCTGGGCTTCCATGCCGTAACGTACATGGTACGATCGTTATCAGATTCATTCATGATCGATCTTCCATCGTGTATTATTTCCTGATTTTTACACGTACACAAATCTATGGGCAATTGACAGTACGAACACTTTCGTACGGGCGCCCTACACGTGCATTTTTCACGAGGATTATCGCAATAAAGACAAAACATAGATTTCATATATCCAGAATTGTTTTTAATTGATTTATTATAATTCCACTTATTTTGAGATTTAATATAATCTGCGTAAGAATCTGTCTGTCTGTAACTTTAATCAATTAATAATTAAACTTAATCATCAATAATATATATTATAATAAAAGATAAAAAATTTACCTGAATTCTGAATTTCGTGATCTACAAGAACCGTTGCAAAGGATTTTTCTTCTACAATTACAATCATCCCAATTTCTATCGTAATATGAATTTGGACGAGCACTTTCTTGAGAATTGGTATGATAACATTGCTTTTCCATTTTTAAACAACTTTTAAGATAATTTGTAGGTTCGGTATCATATTTCTGTACGGGTGCATTATAACAACAACTACATCTACTTTTTTTGGTAGTAACACATTCGTGAGTATTTGAATACTTTTCATAATTCGAATCTGTACATATCGTATGAGATTCCATTCCGGAAGATTTTGTACATACCGTGGTAGTTTCTTTTTCGGAACATACATCGAGATGTATTTTTTTAACTGGTTTTTCTTCTTCTTTTATTTCAGTTACTTTAGGTTTAATTTCTTTTTTTTCTTGAATGGCAGGTTTTTCAGGTTTTTTTATTATCTCTTTTTGAGCTTTGTCTTGAGGAATGTCTCGAGATTCTCGAGGTTTTTCAGGTTTTTTTAATATTTCTTTTTGAGCTTTAGTGATATCTTTAGATTTTCGAGGTTCAAGTATCTTTTCAGACTTTTCATTATTTTTATGTATTGTTATTTTATCTTGATTTGACAAAACAGGTATATCTTTATTTAGTAACTTTAATTGATTTTGCTTTTGTTTATTAAAAATTTGTTTCTCTTTATTAGAAATTTGTTTTTCTTTATCAAAAATTTCTTTTTCTTTATTAAAAATTTGTTTTTCTTTATCAGAAATTTCTTTTTCTTTATTAAAAATTTGTTTTTCTTTATCAGAAATTTGTTTTTCTTTGTCAGAAATTTTATTTTTTGCATTATTTTTTATTTCTTCTTTTATCAGCAGAGGAGAATTGGGATTATTTTTATTGTTTATTTTCTTTATCTCATTTATGGTTTGGTAAGGTAGTTTCATTAGATTCATAGGATTCGGTTGAAATTTCTGATTTCTCTCTATTCTTATTGCCGTATGTGGATTCATTTTAGTGGGAGTAAATTTTACTAATTGTTTTTCTGCATTTTTTATTTCAATTTTAGCATTTGCTTGAGTTTTATCATTTCCTTTCTTTGGAGTTTCCTCAGTTTTACCTATTTTCTTAAAACCTTTGATAAAGAAATCTTTCAATCTTTCTTGGAAAGTTTTCTCTCTTTGTTTTATTTCTAACATTTCTGCCTCCAATAATTTTTCTTTCTCTTCTTCTGGAATAGGTATTTTCTCTTCTTCTGGAGTAGGTATTTTCTCTTCTTCTGGAATAGGTATTTTTTCTTCTTCTGGAACAGGTATTTTCTCCTCTTCTGGAGGAGGTATTCTCTTTTCTTCTGGAAGAGGTATTTTCTCTTCTTCTGGAGGAGGTATTTTTTTTTCAGGAGGAGGTATTTTTTTTTCTTCTAGAGGAGATGGTATCTTTTCTTCTGGAAAAAGTAGTTTTCTTTCTTCAATAGTTAGTCGTCTTGGTTTTTCTTTATATTTTTTTAAAATATCCGGCGGCGATATTGGAACTTTCGGAATATATGGTGGAATATATGGTGAAATGGGTGTAAAAGGTGATATCATAGGTGGTACAGTTTTTGTTTGTTGTAAGAGTTGTTTAAGTGCAAATGCTTCAGGTCTCACTATTTTTGATGGTAAAATTGATATTTCATTTATTGGTGGAATTCTTTTTTCCTCTTCTATTTTTTCTTCTTTTTCCTTTTCTATTTCTTTTTCTTTTTCTTTTTCTTTTTCTTTTTCTTTTTCTATTTCTATTTCTTTTTCTTTTTCTTCTTCTTCTTCTTCTTCCTTTTCTATTTCTTTTTCTTCTTCCTTTTCTATTTCTTTTTCTACTTCTTTTTTTTTCTCCTTTTCTATTTCTTTTTCCTTTTCAATTCTTTCTTTTTCTTTTTTTACTTTTTCCTTTTCCTTTTCAATTTTTTCTTTTTCTCTTTTTACTTTTTCTTTTTCCTTTTCTATTTCTTCTTTTTCCTTTTCTACTTCTTTTTCCTCTTCCTTTTCTATTTTTTCCTTTTCTATTTTTTCTTTTTCCTTTTCTACCTTTTTCTTTTCATTTTCTACTTTTTCTTTTTCCTTTTCTATTTTTTCTTTTTCCTTTTTTATTTTTTCTTTTTCCTTTTCTACTTTTTCCTTTTCCTTTTCTATTTTTTCTTTTTCCTTTTCTACCTTTTTTTTTTCATTTTCTACTTTTTCTTTTTCTTTTTCTACCTTTATTTTTTCCTTCTCTACTTTTTCTTTTTCTATTTTTTCTTTTTCTTCTTCATCTTCCACTTCTTTCTCTTCTTCTTCCTTTTCTTCTTCCTCCTCTACCTTTTCTTCTTCCTCCTCTATCTTTTCTTCTTCTTCTTCTTCTTTTTCTTCTTCTTCCTTTTCTTCTTCCTCTTCCTTTTCTTCTTTTTCTTCTTCTTTTTCCTCCTCCTCTTCTTCCTCCTCCTCTTCCTCCTCCTCCACCTCTTCCTTTTTTATTTCTATTTCTTCTTCAGGATATTCTTTCTTTAATTTGCTTGGACATGGTACGCATTCTATAAATTTGTCGACAAGATATTTTGGACATGGTACAGATTTTACGTATTTTTCTTCAGGATATTCTGAACATGGTACAGATTTTATAAATTTGTCGACAAAATATTCTGGACATGGTACAGATTTTATGAATTTGTTTTCAGAATATTCTGGATATGGTACACATTCAACAGATTTGTCACTAGAATATTCTGGACATGATACGGATTTTATAAATTTATTTTCTGAATATTCGGGACATGGTACAGACTTTATAAATTTATTTTCAGAATATTCTGGACATGGTACAGATTTTATAAATTTATTTTCAGAATGTTCTGAACATGGTACAGACTTTATAAATTTATTGTCAGAATGTTCTGAACATGGTACAGACTTTATAAATTTATTTTCAGAATGTTCTGAACATGGTACAGATTTTATAAATTTATTTTCAGAATATTCTGAACATGGTACAGACTTTATAAATTTATTTTCAGAATGTTCTGGACATGGTACAGACTTTATAAATTTATTTTCAGAATATTCTGGACATGGTACAGACTTTATAAATTTATTTTCTGAATATTTCGGACATGGTACACATTTTATGGATTTTTTTTCTTCTTCTTCCTCTTCCTCCTCTGTTATGCACTTACAAATTAACAATGATTCTTTATCAATTATTTTAGATGAACGCCTTTTACGACAATATTTGCATCGCATATTATATTTACTATTTAATTTTTGATCTTTTTTGCGACATTTGCATAAACTTTTAATAATTTTAGTATGTTTCGTTTCACTTTCGCAAGTATGATAATTCATATTAGGATCTAATTCTTCTGACCAAGAATCAGGTAAAAAACATTTTATGTCTCGATTGCTGTTAGTCGATTTTGAAGACCATCCTTCACTTTCTGAATCCGATAAATTTTTTTTAGGATATATCGTGGAGCAAGGTTTTTCTATTTTGTCACATACGATATATTTAGGCCTTTCAGAAAGCGTATCGGAAGATTTTTTCACACATACATCGCTAACACTTGCGTCTTTGCATTTACACTCGATCAAAGTAGATTCGATTGTTGTCGAGCTACTTTCATCTTTATCAAGATCGTGACAAATTTCAAGAATATCACTACTATCTACTTTTATCGTGCTCTTCGAATCTGAAAATTTGGAACTACAACTGCATATAAGACTGGTATCATTACTTTTATTACTTTCGTCTTCCTTCGAGAGACTGTCCAATGAATTTTCTACAGATTTTTTACGTTTATTTCGAATGCAAGTAACAAGCTTGCTCGACGAAATTTTTGATGATTCTGTCGTTGTTTCTGAACTAGATTCAGCGCACGGTTGAGGTTTTTCTTGTTTCTTACCTTTTTCCTAACAAATAAAACAATTAATTAGAACATTTCTAATAAAAATTATCTTCAATAAAAAAAAAAAATAAAATTACTTGAGCATTTTCAGTAGCTTCCGAACAGATATAAATATTTACATTTCCAGTCATTTTACGATTATCAGTTTTCAAATTATTCGATGATTTTGAGCGTTTTGATTGTTTCGTGATTTTCTTTTTTTCCTCTTCAAGTGCTTTCTTTTTTTTACGCAAACGTTTTACATGTTCTTCGTGTAATTTTTTAAGATTCATACGAGCAATGTTATATTTTTCTTGAAGACGATTCGATTTTGTAATTTTGCAACGATTATTGTGATGTTCTTGATTTGCCTGAATCCCACGTGCTCGATGCTCACGCTTGATCTTTACTGGAATTTTCTTAACGTAACAGATTGATCTATCAATCTTTTCTTCCAGATTCTTATCAAGATTCTTTTCTTCCAGCTTCTTATCAAGATTCTTTTCTTCCGGTTTCTTATCAAGATTCTTTTCTTCTGGCTTCTTATCAAGATTCTTTTCTTCTTTCTGCTTTTTGAAAAAAAAAATATGTATATATATATATATTGAAATAATTACATAATTTTTTTCATTTTATTTACACGTAAATTGGTAATAAAAATTTAGTAAAAAATTTAAGTATCTTGGATACTTGCATCTTAAATACCATTCTACATTGCTCCACAATAGTCTGCATCGCTTCTTTAATCGAACTATTGATCATTTGTGTTAATTTTATGGGACTGATTTTACAATCTGATTCACATTTAACAATTTCTTTTATTAAAGGACTTTCACAAATTTCAGAAATGTATTCTTTCTTTGGACAAGTTTGCAAATTGCAAATATCGTACTCATCCAAATATATTTTTTCATCTTCAATTTCATCCACCATTTCATCTTCGACTTCATCTTCGATTTCAACTTTCACTTCATCTTCTCTAATATCATTTTCTCTTTTAATATCGTTGATCTCCCTCTTAATATCCTTGATTTCCCTCCTTACATCGTTGCTTTCCCTCCTAACATCATTTTCCCTCCTAACATCATTTTCCCTTCTAACATCATTTTCCCTTCTAACATCATTTTCTCTTCTAACATCATTTTCCCTTCTAACATCATTTTCCCTTCTAACATCATTTTCCCTTCTAATATCATTTTCTCTCCTAACATCATTTTCCCTTCTAACATCATTTTCTCTCCTAACATCATTTTCCCTTCTAATATCGTTGATTTCCTTCCTAATGTCATTGATTTCCCTCCTAATATCGTTGTTTTCTCTTCTAATATCCTTGCTTTCTTTTCTAATATCGTTGTTTTCCCTCCTAATATCCTTGCTTTCCCTCCTAGCATCGTTATTTTCTCTCCTAGTATCATTATTTTCTCTTCTAATATCGTTGTTTTCCCTCCTAATATCCTTGATTTCTCTTCTAATATCGTTATTTTCTCTCTTAATATCATTGTTTTCTCTTCTTATATCTTTTCTAATGTCTTTGTTTTCCTTCTTAATATCTCTATTCTCTTTCCTATCATTCATATTAATTATCTTTTCATATGCATTTTTGATTTGAAACAAATTCTTTGGATTTTCAGATTTTGTTGCAATAGTTTGAGGATTAGCATGCACTGCTGCATCTAACAAAAGTGGAGGAGGAAAACTCGTTGCTTTTTCGGTATGGAATGGATAAACTAAATTTTGATTGATGTGATTTGGAAATTCTGATTTTTCTGATGGAGATAATGTATTATTTTCATTTTTTATAGATTTTAATTCTGAGTCCGGAGTTTTACGATGGAACAATTTAGCAAGAAACATTTTAATATGTTGCAAATATCTATTATTTTCTATTCTATTTCTTCCTTTTACATTTGCTTTTGTCAAATTTTATATATGTGTATATATTTTTCTCCAAATATACACGTCCTTCTTCGTTTTTTGAGAAACATTTCTTTCGACATCGCCGAAATTTATTTATATTTTAGAAAACAATAATTTTATTTCATCTCAAATTTATCATAACTAACATTTTTATTAAACATTTGTATTAAAGGTTATACATTTTAATAACATATAAAGTTTAAAACAATCGAGAGTATTTTTCATCGATCAAAATCCAAAATGAAGTGTGTCGTATATGATTTACTTTCGATAGAAGTACATAACACGTACATAGTGATTGAAGCAAAAAAAAAAAAAAAAGCGATCATATATTTTTATCCGATAAAAAATGTTGGAAATTTATTCATTATTATTTGTTGTTTCATTCATAGATATATAAGATTTATGTGGCACAACTACAAGCGGAGGATGTCTCACTTAAAACTTCTGAATCGTGTGGGCAATCACAACTTTTCATTTGTTCAAACCTTACATTTGCTTTGTGAATCTTATGTTTACATCTAGGCGACTAAAAAAAAAAAGAATAATAATAATAATAATTAAAGAATATGTAAAAAAAATATATAGAAATTATAGAATTGTAATAATTAATATCCAAGTTTCAAATTATTTTAAATAGCGTTACCATTTTATGAATGAATTTTTTCAAATCCGATTTTTTTTGACTTTGATTTTTGACAGGATAAAGTTGTTTTACACGTTTACTTTTATCTGCTTTTTCAGACAAACATATTAATGGTATGCCTTCGCAAGATTTACGATTTTCTCGACATCCAATTCTTCTTTGAAATTCGTTTAAGACATTTTTATAAGTCTGCGATTCTTGATAAGGATATCTATCATCCTGCTGAATTACTTTGAACTTAAAACAAAATAATTCTTATTTTTATCAAATTCAACGAGTATCTAGTCTCATAATTTCAAAAACTTACTGAACGTTCAGATGTAAGAGAAGGATGGATCCTTTGAGTCTCCATTCTGCTACTCGTTGAACTGTCTAAACATCGAAAAGGGCTTCCAACTCTATGTTTTTTCTTTTCTTTTTCTTGAATTAATTTCATTCTATCGTGTCTTTTCAACTCTTCAATTAATTCTGGAGTTTGATACATAGGTAAATATCTTTTTACCATAGGCATTTCGGGTCTTCGCGTCGTTGCTTCTGGTTCCGTCGTGATAAATTCACGAGGAATTTCAGAAGCACTCCTTTTATAAATATGCGTTCTACAATTTCGTGGACAACACTCGCATTCGTATGGGAAATGAACATTTTCGCACGATTCCCATTCTTTTGTTTGTCTTCTTTCTCTAGTAGGTGTTTCAGGAACATATCGACATGGTTTTTTTAATTTGGATTTGTATTCGTATATTTCCTCATCATCCGTTAATATTGATTCCTCTGAACAACTGGATTTTCTTCGTTTCGAACGGCTACGATGATGTTTTCTGCACCTAATTAATTTCAATTCAATTTATTAATCATTGAAAACAATATATTTACGTCACTTTCTACTTTAATATTTACCTTTCCCGATATTTTTTCCTTTCCCTGCTTGACTCTCTTGGAAGTTTACTAATCTTTTTTACGTCTGGATTTCTAATATCTAGTTTACCATTTTTATCGTCTTTATCGTGTTTATAAAACTTTGTTTGAGTGAATCTGTTTTTATCTGGTAGTAAATCGCTTGTTTTATCAACTTTTATTTCTATGGGTTCCGTATCATCAAGTTCCGTTTCTTCATCCGTATCAATTTTTTCCTTAACTTTCGATGACCAAAAAGTTTTCAAAGGTTTCATGGTTTTCAGAGGCTTTATAGTTTCCAAAGGTTTTATGACTTCCAAAAATTTCCGACTTTTTTCAAAAATTTTAGGTTTTTTCCTTGAAATTTTACTTTCTTCTTTCGAAATTCTAGGTTCTTCTATTCTAGTTACTTTATTTGAAATTCTAAATTCTTCTTCTTCTGAAATTCCAGATTTTCTTTTTGTAATTTCAGAACTTTCTTTTTTAGGATTTCCTTTCAAAAATCTAGGATACCCTCCCGAAGTCCTAGATTTCCTTTCTGAAATTCCAAGATCTTCTCTCGATAATTCTGATTTAACGTCTTCCATTTGACGAACACACTTTCGTGTACGTAAATTTTTAGTTTCATCTTCCTCGAAATAACATGTGTCTTTCACAGCGGATTCCAAATGCCTGTTTTGTATTGCATATTCATTAAAAATTCATATTGAAAAATAACGCTAACTCTTTTTTCTTTTAAATATATAAAATTACTTTGGTAATTGTTTAGTGGCGAATCTTCCATACGGGACTATCTCACTAAAATTTTCATCACAACCATCTTCCGTAGTTGGCCTTTTAGTTCTTCGTTTAGCGAAATATATATTCCCAGTGGATCTGTCTTCTATTTTTAACAGACTCTCGTTTTCATCGTCACAGGAACACGAAGAAGTGGAATCTTTTATCTTTCTTACTCTTCTGTATGATTGCATCGGCATCGATTCCTTTCTCGTAAGCATGCTGACAATTTTATTCATAAGGGATGGACGTTTCTTTTGCAATCCTTTGCACGGCTTTTCGTCAACCTGCCAAAGCAATAAAACTATATTTCAGCGAAACTTTAAGCCTCCGAACAAATAATGATAGAGAAATATGGAAAAATTTGAAAGATTTAGAGTGGTTCATACTTCTCCTTTACCGAGCCAAGGAATTCTTGCAACCGCATTGACGATTCTATTTATACGACCCAGTTTCCTCTTATCCTGTCGATCCCTCGGGAGCAATTCATCGTCGTCGTCACCTACTTCTATGTGTATTACTTCTTCCTCGTCTACTATCTCGCTCGTCCAGGATTCCGTATCGGCGATTGAAGTAGACGAATCGGAATCTTTTTCAATCGGTCGTTTTTTTATTTTGGCACATACTTTTCTACGCGCCCTCACAACGAAGGGAGAAATCAATGATTCGCTGCTCGAGGATGACAGTTTTACAAATGGTTGGTTAAATATCTGAATAATATTTTAATTAAAAAAAAAGAAAAAAAGGAATTTTATTTTATAAATTAACCAAAAACAATTTCATCATCTTATATTGAAACGCACTTGAATTGTTACGTCGTCCCTTATTCTTTGTGCTTCCACATCTTTAAAAGGTATTCTCCGTTTTACAATTTCTGGAGGTTCCTCTGGAGGTTCTTCTTCCTGATATTCTAAGACAATTTAAAACAGTTTTTTTTTGTAATGAAATTAATAATTCTAGTAATCTAATAAAATATACTTGAATTTATATGTTTTTACCGAAACTAAGGATAGGTTCTACTTCTGGTTTTTCAACGACTTCTACTGGTGGTTCCACTACTGGTGGTGGCTCTACTGGTGGTGGCTCTACTGGTGGTGGTTCTACTGGTGGTGGTTCCTCTACTGGCGGTTCCTCTATTGGCGGTTCCTCTATTGGCGGTTCCTCTATTGGTGGTTCCTCTATTGGCGGTTCCTCTACTGGTGGTTCCTCTATTGGTGGTTCTTCTATTGGTGGTTCTTCCTCTATCGGTGGTTCTTCCTCTATTGGTGGTTCTTCTTCTATTTCTTCTTCCTCTATCATTTCTATTTCTTCTTCTTCTGGTATTTCTTCCTCCTCTGGTATTTCTTCCTCCTCTGGTATTTCTTCCTCCTCCGGTATCTCTATTTCTTCTTCCTCCGGTATCTCTATTTCTTCTTCCACCGGTATCTCTATTTCTTCTTCTTCCACAATTTCTTCCACTTCTTCTTCCACTGGTATCTCTTCTTCTTCCACTATTTCCTCTTCTTCCACTTCTGGTTCTTCAGGTTCAGGTATTATTGGTGGTATTATTGGTTCATCAATTTCTGAATCTCTGAATATTTTAAAATTATTTAATAACGATTGATGAAATCGAACGAAGATATTTTTATTATTAAACGATTTACTTCTCCTCACTCATATCGGTCAAATCACCATACTCCACCGGCATTCGACAAATTGTGCATAATTTCTGCAAATCCGCGAAACACTGCGTGCAATACAGACCAACGCAACCAGGTGTTGGGCATTTAATATGTGGTTCATGTTCAGGACGTTCGATCGCGCCACATAGAAGGCATGCAGTTTGTTTTAATGGGAATAACGTGTTCAAAAATGGACACATAGCCCACAATTTCTCCTTTAATGTCATTTTTTCGACAACTTCGTCTCCGCTCAAACCGAATTTTCGGCGCAATTGACGTCTAGCGAACTTCAAAAAACTCACTCTTGATCTAGTCATGTTTTTTAGAGATAAAAATAATTTAATAATTCTTTCAACAATAGAAACGAAAAGGATATCATTTATACCTGATTATATGATTGTACAGCCAAATTGCTCTTTGTTTCGCTCTGTCAGGGTAATATTGGCACATGACCACTTGTCTTAATCGTAAACCATAAGGTTCAAAGAAAGTTATCAGCCAGCATAAAAGTATTATAGTGATGATTTGGACATATTTATCCGTATTAGGAGGTATAGGATCCGGGAGACAAAGCAACGTATCTATTTCCGCTTCGTTTTCATGAGGTGTAAACGATTTTATGATGCTTCTATAAAGTTCAGCTAAATATCCATCACCGGCTACATGAATAGTTATCACACTTGGTCGTTCCACCTAAAAATTATCGTATAACGATATATATATATATATATATATATATTTATACATATATATATGAAATAATGGCGATAATACAACTCGTTGTTTTACCTTACTTTGATATCGTCCATAGATTTGGATCATTTTTAATATCCAAAAAAGACTATAATCTATCGCCATGAAGGTGATAAGTTTCATCGTCGCCATGCTTAAAAATACTAAAGATCTAGCTAATTTAACCCTTTCGGGCTTGATCAACTTGGTAGACGTTAATGATGCAT